GTAAATATCAAACAGCTGTGTAGATGAGAATAACCCTTTGAAATCTGATCCTTAAAGCAGAGGAAAACGATAAAAAAGAACGGCGACGGTGCGCTGCAACTTGTCTAATAATCATATCGCAAACGTGTGTCAATGTCATTTCGTTCTTATCCAATAGTACGTAGTGTGTTTGCATGTTGAGATAAAGTTTGAGTGTATGCTCGTACTCAATTGTATGTGTGTGTATTGATCGAAGAATACGATATATATGATTGAGTTTAAGAGTGCTAGGGTTTGTAAAATTTGAGGTTAAGACGGCAAGCGTACTAAGGTTTTGTTTGTACAAAAGCAGTCTGTATGACTGTTTAGTCGACATCGAATAGGATTAGCGAAAAACTATAACTTGTGCACGTCTCTTTCTAATTTATACTGTAACAGTAGCTGCCGATATATTCCAAGTGGAGCCAGAAGCCTCGTAATCTATTGGATTTTGCTAGCTAGCTATTGTTCCCACGCATGCTTGCATGCATGTCTCCCACAAGTCTAAGTAGAAGCTAGAAGGGTTTTAATAACTACAATGAAAGTATCATGCATTATCCTTGGTTTTAAAGTAGAACGATATATTTACCCATTTAATTTCTACATTACTAAGTGTAAAAAACTGTTATTTTTCACCATAATCTTTTAGATCAAATTTCTACGTAAATAATGACCTTAAGCTATTGTTGATTTTTCATGCACTATGATGAAATTAGGTTATTTTCTTAATTAAATGGCAATGTTAATGTATTCAAATATGACCCCCTTTGCTTAGACTGATTTCTACACATCCAACTCTTATTTAAATTCACCTGCATATCTATCTATTATTAACAGTATCAATTGTATCACAGTAAGGAAGAGAAAACGAAGAAGAAAAGGAAGGAAGAAGAAGGGAGCAGAAAGACACAGAGAAAACTAAGAGAAAATCTGAACATTCTTTTGATTATTTGATACACTCTTGCAGTCTCACATTCTCTTCTTTTATACAAGAGTAACCGCCCTTCTTACAATCTTAGCTGACTAGGATTAACTAACCAATCTTATCCCAACATATCCTAACCATTCAACAGTGTAACAACCTTTATGATGACATGGCACTTTATATTTTTAGTCAATTTAGGTTAACATCCCCCCCTCAATCTCAACTAGGGTAACCGAGCTTGAGATTGAAGCAATGTCGAGTAAAGGTAGGAATGTGAAGGCCTTTGGTTAACACATCGGTTGTTTGTTCATCAGTGGACATATACTGAACCAACAAGTCACCCTTGTGAACTCTTTCTCGAACGAAGTGATAATCTGTATCTAGATGTTAATTCGAGAATGATACATCGGATTGGCACTTAAAGCAATAGCTGACATGTTATCGTAGTAAATGGTTGGTGGCTCAGGTAGAACAACTCATATATCCTTCAATAACAACCAGATCCAAGTCACATCAGCTGCTGTATATGCCAGTGCCTTATATTCAGCCTCTGTTGAGCTCCTAGATACTGAGGTTTGTTTCTTGGACTGTTAAGATATAGGGTTATTGCCCAGAGATACTACATATCCAATCACTGATCTTTGTGTGTTTAAATTAACAGCCCAAGCCAAGTCTGAGTATGCAGTCAAATGAATATTTGTATCAGATGTATATGTAATGCCACACTTTAAAGTCCCTTGAAGATACCTCAAGATTCTCTTTACAAAATTGAAATGAACATCCATTGGTGCTATCATGAATTGGCATACAGAGTTGACAACAAATGCTATATCCGGTCTAGTAAATGTCAAGTATTGTAATGATCCAACCAAGTTCCTATACAATGTAGCATCCTTTAAAGATGTGCCTTCAGTGAGTAACAACTGACTGTGAGGTTTACATGGTGTAGTTGTAGGTTTAAAAGACTCTATACCAGCTTTATGAATGAGATCCTTGACATACTTGGATTGACTAACAAATATGTCACCATTAGCTTTATAATGAATCTGTAAGTCCAAAAAATATGTAAGTCTTCCCATATACTTTAAATCAAACACTCCTGCCAAATCTTGAATCACAGCTTGAATTTGGTAACATTGGATTCAGTGAGGATGATATCATCCACATATAATAACAGAACAATTACATCATTCCCATCAGTTTTCACAAATAAACTTGTGTCAGAAGAGGATGCACTGAATCCCAATGTTGGCAAATAGCTAGTAAACTTTGAGTTCCAAGCCCTTGGTGCTTGTTTGAGACTATACAGAGACTTGATTAACTTACAAACATAATTCAGATGAGAAGGATCAACAAAGCCCTGAGGTTGTTTCATATAAACTTCATCTTGCAACTCTCCATGTAAGAAAGCATTTTTGATGTCTAACTGCCTCAACTCCTACTTGTGAATTGCTGCCAAGGACAAAATGAGCCTCACAATTGTATGTCTCACCACTGGACTAAAAGTTTCAAAGTAGTCAAGACCTTGTTCTTGAGAAAATCCTTGAGCTACAAGTCTAGCTTTGTACCTAGACAAACTTACATAAGGATTTTTCTTTATTTTGTAGACCCATTTGGTGCTAATGATAGACCTGTCATGTGGAAGAGGTACTAGTTGCCAAGTTCCATGAGATTAAAAGCATTATACTCTTCTTGCATTGCAGATTGCCACTGAGGTATAGTGGATGTTTTTCGAAAGCTAGATGGCTCATCTGAATCATTAATTGAAGCCACAAAAGAAAAACCTCCAACAAATGTGCTATCATCATCCAACATTAAAGAGTGTGGTTCAGGACATGAAGCAATAAATGCAACGTAGTATTTCTGATTTATAGTACCAGACTTCAATCGTGTAATCATTGGATGACCAGATGTTTCATGAGGCATGGTATCAGATAAGGAAGTATAAATAGGAATGTGTACTTCTAATTGTGATGGACTATGAATAGGCAACAATGATATTGTATGTTAAGACATTGTTAGAGTATAGGAGAAATAACCTGTAGGAGTAGTAATGAGATTCTGTGCAGTATTACTTAGCATTCTCAGATTCTGTGAACTATGCTCAGTACTGTCTTTAATAACCTATGGACTTCCAAATTGAACTGTAGCAGGTACCTGAGAAGTATGATGATCTTGATGTCTAAAATCATGTACTTGAATAATCCCTGGAGAGATAGTCGAGTTCTTAGGGCCATCCATATTCCCAGCTTGAGATGATGAGGGCAACTTAAATGGAAAAACATTCTCATCATGAATCACATGCCTTAACAGTATTAGCTTTCTTGTTGACAAATCACAGCATACTACACCCTTATATCCAGCAGCAAATCCTAGAAAAACACATTGTTTAGTCCTTGATTGTAATTTATGCTGGTTATATGGTCTCAAGAATGGATAAATAACCGTACCAAAAATCTTCAGAGTATGAATTGTTGGTTCTTAAGAATAACTTGATAGGGTGATTTCATATTTAATGTCTTACAAGACATTCTGTTTATGAGAAAGGCAACATGTAAACAATTCCAAAACATCAATGGAACATGAGCTTCTATCAATAAAGTAATAGTTGTCTCTATTAAATGTCTATGTTTCCTTTCTACAATACCATTTTACTGAGGGGTATATGGACAGCAAATAGAATGAATAATCCCTTTAGTTTCCAAAAACTGTGTAAATTTGTGACTTATGTATTCACCCCCACCATCAGTTTGCAAGCATTTAATAGCAAAATTAAATTGAGTTACAATAAAAGAATGGAACTTGATGAACACTTGGAAAACATCAAATTTATTTATAATAAGGAATATCCAGAGAAATCTTGAATACTCATCAGTGAAGCTTACATAATATATATATCCTTCCAATGACTTAGTAGGAGATGGACCCCATACATCTAAATGGACTTTTTCAAACATGAAACTAGCTCTAGTATCTCTTACTACAAATTGTTGTCTACACATTTTTCCAGACAAACAAGAAGTACACACAGAAGGACTAGAATCCATACCAACAGATTTATCGAACCCCTTGAGCATTATTGACAAAACTTCCTCTGATGGATGGCCAAGTCTCTTATGCCAAGTTGAAACTCTAACGCTTTGCCAAGAAAATCATCACCTTTACATGATTGACCAGCAAATCTTCTGGAAAACACACTCACAGGAATCTTATATAACTCTCATATACTCATGTTGTGGTACAATATCACTCATGTTGCCTTGTCCTGTATGAAAAACACAAGATCATCACAAGTAAACCAACAACCATTGTCGTTACATAACTTTTTAACAGATAGAAGATTAACCGTAATGGTTGGAACATGTAATATATTCTTTAGAAGTAATGAATGATTAGAAGTAGAGATGATAGATGAACCAATATGTTTAACTGCCAGACATTCACCATTACTAATGGTAATTTTGTTATCCCCATTGTATTGAACTAGCTGATTCAGATTCTCAAGATTTAATGTTATATGATGTGAAGCTCCTATATCTAAAACCCTAGTATCAACTGCAGAAACTCCTTGTACATTCTATCTAAACTCAGCTGTTGTCATTCCTTGGATAGACTGATTTTGTGCAGTAAAAGCTGTAATTGAAGAAGGTGGTGATTGTCCTTGATAAGAAAAATTGTTCATATGCCAGCATTCCAGTGCATTGTGACCTTTCTTGCCATAAATCTAACATATAAGGATCTAATAAGTCTGCGAGGATGATCCATAGTCAACTATGTTCAAACAGTTTGGAGCAGTATACCCCTTTTTAGAGCAATTCTGACATTTAATTACTACAAGAGCATTAAAACTTGTATTTCCATTCCAACCATTTTTAGAACCATTATTGGAGTAAGAGTTTCCAAAGAAATTACCCCTTCTTTGTCTGTTATTATAGTAAGCCCGAGAATTGTTCCATGAACCATTTCTATTTTGAGGCCTATTCCCATTTCCTCTATAACTAGAACTACCTTGATACCCTTGAGTACCTCCACTTCATTGACTACTGTTAGAACTCTCTCATTGTGAGTAATTATCACCTTGATCTCCCCCCTTATGTCTTCCAGATGAATTCTCTGAGTGATCCCCTTGAACATACATTACAACCATACTTGTAGTCAGAGATGTAATTCTGGACTCAACAATAGCTTCAGCACTAAGTATCTGTGCTCGAAAATCCTTCAAATTAATAGGTGTATCTCTAGCTAAAATGACAGTTTTTACCACATCAAAATCAGGAGGCAAACCAGATAGAGTAGCAATAACTACATCATTGTCTGTAACCCTTTCTCCAGTAGACACTAATTGATCTCTAATTGCCTTCAATCGCAACAGATACTTGTCTATAGAATCACTGCCCTTCTGAATTGTATGAAATTTAGTCTTGAGTTGGTTAACTCTGACCATTGATACAGATGCATACCTCTCTTGCAAACAATTCCAAGCTTCACAAGAAGTTTTACAACCAATGACATATTCCATGACATCATCAAATAAAGTGGCAAGCAACAAACTCAACAATGCCATATCATGTTTAACCCAAGATTTATAAGCCTATGTAATTTCTTTAGTAACACCTACTTCAGTATCAATCACAAACTTAGGTGGACATTGAGACTCTCCAGTAAAGAAATCAAAGAAATCGTACCCTCACAACATAGATTGAAATTGGTAACTCCATTTCACAAAATTATCATCTTGGAGTTTTACAGTCAACATCCCAAGCAAACTTTCAGTTCTCACAGCCTTATCCGACATCTTGATTAAAATTTTAAGCTTCAAAGTTATCAATCTTCAACTCAATCATTATCTTCAATCGAAAGAAGAACCACAATTTCAATAATTCTTTCAAAACAACACAGCTTACTACTGTAATTCACAGATCTTCAACAATGGCTTCAGCCTTTTTAACAATCAATCATCAGAATATCTCAGCAACCAATAAAGAAAACTATATTTCATCATACTTCAACAATTGATAATAGCCTTCACAACCGATCATTTATAAAATCTCAGACCTTTCATTCAGCGACATTTCCACAAACACCATATATGCATAAAAAAATGACAGATAGAAGAGCCAACCTGACAAATTTCAAGATCCCAACTTCGAATCAGCAGCACAAAACAAATTAGCAACGAGCCAAGATTTGCACAGTCGACATAACCATCAAGGATCGAAGCTCGGCAATGATACCATATTAACAGTATCAATTGTATCACAGTAATGAAGAGAAAATGAAGAAGAAAAGGAAGGAAGAATAAAGACACAGAGAAAACTAAGAGAAAATCTTAATATTCTTTTGATTATTTGATACACTCTTGCAGTCTCACATTCTCTTCTTTTATACAAGAGTAACCGCCCTTCTTACAATCTTAGTTGACTAGGATTAACTAACTAATCTTATCCCAACATATCCTAACCATTCAATATATTCTAACAACCTTTATGATGACATGGCACTTCATATTTTTAGTCAATATAGGTCGACATCTACACTTTATTAAAATATTTCATTTTAATTTTTTTTCTAGGTCCACACATTTGTTTCAAAAATATCCTTACACACAAACACCATACCTACCAACAGATCACACTCCACCTATTTCTAAACCATTAAAAAAAAAGAAAAGAAAAAGAACAGATTGCGCGACTACGTCCAACACTTGTCAAATGGTGGTGAAGGCATATTGATGGGTTATTGTGATTCATTAAAATGCACATCGGTAGGAAATGTCATGTACTGAACCAAAACATTGTTCCAAAAATTCCTGCCTCAGCACTAGACAATTGATCACCACCTCGATTAGTCCTAGTCCCTAAGCATTTAAAAATTAAGAAAGTACACTTAGACCCAAACGTCCACCTAGCCCGCTTAGGCACTCACCTAAACTCGCCTAGGTCGCGACTGTGGAGCCAAAAATAATCACAAGGCGACACATGGATCTTTGGATAAAAAAGGACAAGAATACCCTTGAGGTACATCGGAGTTCCTACGCGCGAGCAGCGGGCAATCATCTTTCAACCAAGTCAAAAGTGCCTAAAATAGGTAATAATTCAAAGCCTATTTCATCCATCCTCATGAAATCCTTTCTACAAGGTAATTCCCAAAACGTTCCTTTTAAATTATGTTAATTGGCTAATTAATAGATTTATTACCTAATTAATCTATTAATAGCCAATTACACCACCAATTACTCCAAAAAAACACACATAAGGCTAGTCACCTTCTCTCCCAAGAGGGCCGGCCATGCCTTATAATTTCTGCCTTATTTTCCTATTTTATTAGCTAATCAATTAGGCAAATATTCTATTAATTGACTAATTGATTAGCTAATTATTCCATAACTCCCAAATTAAACACAAATCAAGAACCTAGCCCACAAAGGGAGCTAGGGGGCTGATCCTCTCTCACCCAAAGAGACCGGCCACTTTCATATTTAAACCCCTTCATTCTCCTCAATGTTCACTTCCAACTCTCTTGCTAAAATTCTCTAAAAATTCTCTAAAAATTCTCAAAAACACTTTTCTCTAAATTCTAACTTTGACATCGGAGGTTTTTCAGCCAAAGCCCCTCAATTCATCGTGGGCGCGTAAGGCTCTTGGCCTTAACCAAAGGTGTTAATTGCTTTGTAGGTGCAATTTTGTCCAAGATCAAGAAGGAAGAAATTTGCATTCACAAATTAGTGCTTTCATTGAGACGTGAGTCCCACACTCGTAGAAGACTCTCGCATCCAAGGTTTTCTATTTTCTTGTCCATTTGTAGATTTTTCGTACGTTCTTATTTTTAGAATTTTTTATTTGCGAAAATTCGTTGATTAAACGTAAAAGAGAAGTATTAAGGCTAGAAATTTAGAAAATTCAACAAGTGAAAATTCCAATATTCAATAGATGGGATTGCGGCGATCCACGAGGCGAAATGTGACCATAAGTGGAACGACACCACTACCACGAGTTTCCACCATAAGAACCACCGCGGTGGCCACCCACTACCACGGCCCGAGCCATGCCATCTAAGCAAGCCCAAGTCGTGCCATCCAAGGCCCACGACATCAAAGCCACGGCCCAAGCCATGTCACTCCGAGCCCAAAGTGAACCCAACGCGTTGCCAAGCCGAGCCCTAGCCTGCTCCCGTGGCCCAGCCTACTCCTGCAGCCCAATCTACTCCCATGGCCTTCCAAGCATCCCAAATTGATCCAAGATTAGTTCAATCATCCCGGCTTCAAATGTCCGGACTGACAATCGAACCGGGAGCATTTTCACCATATTTTTATGCGGATTTGACATTTCCCAACTTAAATCTCGTGCCCGGAGTCTACCATACTTCAACTTCTCAAGGAGACGCATTCCAACCCAAATCGAGAACAACACTTGTCTTAACAAGTCATAGAGTTGACAAGCGCCTTCACACAGTTGACGACCTTGGTGAACCAGCTCTTGCAGTGCACCGAGATGCAACATGCCCTATACGAGTTATCCCAAAGTAAGACAAGGGCAGATAAAGCACCTCTCTAGCGGCATCCCGGTAAACAGCCACAAACCGAGCTTTCGGGCAGTGTACACTCTTGATTGAGCCCTCGAGATAGCGTATATTCCAATCTTTACGCACGGAGGAGCGTGCACTCTTGACTAGGCCCACGGATGAGCATACAATCATGGTTGAGGCCACACTCTGATAGTCAACATGAGCAACCTTCCAGGCGAAGTGTTCATTTATGGCTAAGCCCGCAAGGAGCATCATCTACCTCATATCAGAGTAGGAAGCACAACTAATAGAGAGAAACAGTAACTCAATCCAGCTTAAGTTCAACCGGCAACCTGCGAAGAACTCGCTCGCCTACTAGGAACGCACCACACGCATCTCATCAGCGACATAGACGAGCCAAACACATAGAAGAACAACTTAGACTAGCAAGTCACAGTTGGGGGCAGCCGAGAGCTCCACTACCCTAACAAAGGCTAATTAAGGATGAAGTAGAGAAATTCTTGACCAAGCGATTGCGCAATTTCCAATGCAACAAGGTCACCAACGGGGCACTACGATGGAACATGACTAATGTAAGCAGGTCACCCTTCCCGGATGAGATCGAGTAGGCAGAGCCTCCACGCGAGTTCGACATGCCACATTTCATATCTTTCAAAGAGGATGAAGACTCGGAGAAACACTTAAAGCACTACCAAAGCGCAATGATCCTCTATCGAAACAATGACGATCTCATGTGCAAGATATTCACCACCACTCTACTAGGCGAGGTGCAAGATTGGTTCTACAGCCTACCGCCACAATCCATAAGGAGTTTCAACGAACTTTCTTTGGTTTTCACCAAAGAATATTCATCATATCGCTTGATAAAAAAGAAGTCCGACCATTTGTTTAACATCAAGAAGAACCTAAAGGAGTCGCTTCGCGACTATGTGAAGAGGTTCAAAGCAGAGAAGGTAAAGATAGTCGGATGCAATGACTCGATAGCTAGAGCAGTCTTCCAAAAATGACTTCTAACAGACCACCCACTATTAGGAAAATTGATCATGAAAGAAGAACTAACTCTGGCAGACTCTTCCGCTCTGGCAGAGAAATATGCACTTTAAAACGAGGCTCGTCAATGCACATTTAAGGACTTGAAAAAGTACCCGACATCACTTCCCTACTATCCAAACCAGAAGGAGCGGATGACTTATTTACATGTTTGACGGTATCTAAAGCAGTAATAAGCTCTACCATCATACGAGAAGAGCTGGGGGTTCGACTACCTGTATTCCACAGTTTAAAAGCTCTTCTCGATGCTATTAGAAATTCAAAAGCTAACTTTGGCGATAGTTGTTGCAACCCGAAAGCTCAAGTTTTACCTTCAAAGGCACATAGTCATTATAACTCACTAGTTCGCCTAATCTAGATGCGCGACGATAAAGGCGTAGGCCTTGGCGGATGCAAAGCTTTTTGACGAACGCAACAACTTGGCCCAAAAGACATGCTAAGGGCAGATGAACACTAGAATAACACACTCGGAAGCAAGTTTTATCCTCGTTACCCTAAAAGATTCTACATAAGAGCAACATGTACCGGTAGTTGAGCACCATTTCCTGCTACTTGTCACATGCCCCAACCGACCGTTACTCCATAATTCAACTCTAAAGTGGCCCAATACCAGCAGTTGAGCATCTCCTGTTGCGTGTAACATGGTCCCAGCTCCACGGCTCTCTACCACGTATTCACAATGCAACACTGTGGCCCAACGACGCCCCAGAGGTAGTCGAGCACGCCCTAGCCGCACTTGTTCCATCCGATGGAAACTTCTGGCATTTGCATGTCCACGGCGCATCCAACTACAAAGGTTCGAGAGTAGGCGTAGTCCTTGTCACTTAGATAGTTCGACGCTTGAGCAGGTGATCACTCTAGGCTTCAAAGCATCCAACAACAAAGCAGAATATAAGACCTACTAGCAGGCTTCCGAATGGCAAAAGACTTGGCAGTAAAAAAGCTCGCAATTCATTATAATTCCTAGCTAATTACTAGCCAGACTGCTTG